GAGGGACACTGTAAGGAGCGGTTTCCAGGCCCATGGGACTAGGCGCTGGGGGAGGGGAAAGGAAGCCAACGTCCCATCCCGTGAGTTGGGGAAACGGAGGACTTTGGCAGGCTCCATCTCTGGGAAAGCACAAGCGATCAGAGCTGCGTGGGGTCCCCAAGGCCTTCCTCTGGGCTGGGCGCGCGGCATTTTAAAATTCTAGAATCCTCTGGGGTCGTTGCTACTCTCTGTCTTTGAAACGGAGGCCCCTTGCCCCGGGGATCTCCTGCTGGCCATGGCAAGGCCAGTGTGCGCTCGGGCGGGGCCGCCTCCCACCCACCCACGGGCTCTTTGTTCCTGGAAAGATGCGCATTTCCAAGCTGAGGAGCCCAGAGGAGAGGGCGAGGGCGACTGGGGTTCCTTTCAGAAGTGACCTGGTAGCAGAAGCAGCCCCTGAGGGGAACGGGGCTCCCCACTCTGTGTGATTAAGAGCAGAGGGCAGGGCCGGGGGCGGGAGGAGAGGGAGGAATCCCGGCAGCTCTACCTGCCCTCTGGCGGGCTGGGTGATGGCGGCGTCCTTGGCGATCCAGGATTGCGCTTCGGTGTAATTGCAAAGTAACGATGGGGCGCGGGCTGTGTATTAATCGCGTTGATTAATGACACTCGGGTGGTAATTAAACATCTGCTTCATGATCACGTGCAGCCTGAGACTTAACACCAACACACACGTGTGCACTCGCCCACGTGAAGGTCCCTGGGCCTGGGTGGGGGGGCTGGCTAAGTTGATGTCACCCCCACCCCTACAGTACAGCCTCACCTGACCCGGGCCTGGGCAGGTATGCACCCCTGTCAGAGGAGACCTGGGCCCCAGGGTGTCCCCTGTCTGCTGGCCCAGGCGCCCTCTGCTTCCTACCTGCCGTCCTACAACCCGAAACCTGCGGCCGTCTCCCCCCTCGCCCTGGGCTGTGTCTGGCTCGGAAGCTCCCTTCCTGGGGAGGTTACTTTTCCCCAGCAGCTGGGAGCAGAAGCCACCGGGGTGCCCCCCAGCACATCCACTGGATTCAATGACCCGGCCCTGGGGTCTCGGTGACCAGAGCAGGACCCTGTCCTTGATGCAGAGTCCTGGTTTTAGCCTGGCTCCTCCTGGGCTGTGTGGTCTTAGGCAAGTCACTCTGAGCCCCCTCCCCGGGCCTCCGCTCTGCTATGCTCGATTCCAAATTAGGGACGGAGACGGTTTAAGTTCAACACATAGGATCCTCTGTGAGTAAACAGTCGGAAATAATTCCTTCCTTTATGACTTCCCCAAGACCCACTCGTGAGCCATGAGAACCCCGTAAAATCAATAGATTTTATTTTCCAGGCGGAGAAATGGAGGCTTCCCTGAGCTGCTGGGCACGACGATTCATTCTTTATTTTAAATTTTATGTTTATGTTTATGGGCTGCTATTAGGTACCATGGATCCATTCTGAAGGTTGGGTTTGTTTTTTTTTTTCCATTAACTTAACTCATTTTACTTATTAGTTCACATTTATAGCTGGGGTTTAATAAGCGCACCGTGCAAAAATCATAAAACAGTCTTTTCCTTTAACAATATTTTAAAATCAAGGCTCTTCTCTGAGTCATCCTGGTTTATGTGCTCATAACTGCTTCTCCTGTGATTTGAGACCCGGCCTGGCCCATCCTCGCCAGGGATTTGACCTTGAGCGTCACTGTCCTCTTGTGCAAGAGGGAAAGGGCATCTTAGTTAATAGAAGCCACAGCCAATTACCCCAAAAAAAAAAAAAAAACAAGCTCATTGAGTTCAAGGGGCTTCCTGTGTCTGATGGGGTCGGACCCCATCCCTGGGAGGCGGCTGTATTCTTTCCACTTTTTCGGGCCGGAAACTGAGGCTCAGGGAAGTGGGAGGCCTAGCCCAGGCCACTCAGTCGGTGGCCATGGCAGATCTGGGGGCACACCCCCTTCTTCATGCCCCCTCCAGGCCCTGCCCACCCCTTCCCTCAGGTGCTCAATCAATGCTTCCTAAGGAGGCATATTCACGGACTCCGTGACTTTTGGACCAGCCCAATGTGAACTTGGGGACTGTGCCCACGTTCTCGTTCAGCAGCTCTGCCCCTCCCTCCCCCCCCCCCCCCCTCTTCCTAGAGGTTCCCGTCCCTTCCTGATCGGTGGCTCCAACGTCAAACCCCTGTCCTGCCCACTCCTGTGCAGATTCAACGACCCTGGGCCTCAGCTCTCCGCTGCTTGATGGCCTTCTGGCTCCTGGCAAATTAGCTGCAGCCCTGACGGCATCGCAGACAGTGACCTGGAAGTCCAGACGCCCCAGGGCCGAGCACTGCTCCAAGCGATGAACTGGGGACACTGAGGCCGGGGAGGGGCAGGAGGGACGAGGCTCCCTCACGGCTCCCTGGGATCACCCTGGCCCCTGGGAACGACCTCTGGGTGGGCTGGCGCACCCTGGCACTCCCCCTGGGGTTTCTCAGCAACTCGGAGGCTTCCCGAGGCATGGAGAGGTGGACGGCCACCCCGGGGTGGGGACGCAGGCTGGCCAGCCCGTGGCTGGGCCCTCACTGCTGCCTGGCTGGCAGCAGCCCTGGGCATCTCAGCCGTTATCCTCAGGATCTGTCCCCAGGTGGACAGGCAGCTGAGGGACGGCGGAGAGCATGGGGTAGGACATGCAGGCTGCGCGTGTTCGCACCCCGAGAGCCCCCAGCCCAGACGCGGTGGCACCTGCCCTTGTGGGCTACATTTGTGACACAGACCTCAGTTCCTCTGATTCACATTGGGGGAGGGTGTCACCAGGAGAGCTGACCCCTGAGCCACCTCCCAGCCTTTTCATTTTTTATTTGGAGACAGGGGCTCACTGAGGGGCTTAGCGCCTTGCTTTTTGCTGAGGCTGGCTTTGAACTCGAGATCCTCCTGCCTCAGCCTCCTGAGCTGCTGGGATCACAGGCGTGGGCCACCGCGCCCGGATTCACCTTCCATTTTAAACAATCTCCATGGTCACATTCCACAGTGACCAAAACCAGCTTCTGTTCTGAAATCCAACGTGGGCTCAAACCCCGTCTCTCTCACAGCTGTGCGTCCGCTGAGCTGATCTTGCTGAGCCTCACTTTCCCATCCGTCAGCAAGAATGCGGCGCTGTCGGGATAGATTGGGAAATGTGTGAAGCCCCGTCCCCAGCCTCCTCCCAGGCACCCGGCGGGGTCCTGAACACCCTCCCTGTCCTCCCTCCTGGTCTCTGCCACAGCACCCCACGCCCTCCATGCTCACACCACCTCCCCCAGGAAGCCAGCATGTGACACAGCCCCTCCTGGGGTCTGCTGGTGTCACAGGGGTCTGGCAGGAGAGCCCTTCCCTGTGCCTTGTGAGCTCGGACGATCCTGAGGCTGCAGGGGTTCGAGGTGGGCTCCCAACACCGAGTTGACAGACAGGGACTCCGAGGCCCAGGGCAGGCCAGGGCGCCTGAGGGCGGTGGCAGGTGGGCTGGATCGGACCATAGGACTCCTGCCCGCAGGAGTGGGGCCCACAGCTACAGCCCCCCAAGGCAAAGACCCCCCATTCTGTTCATCTGGGGACCACCTGTTTCTCAGCCAGTGTAAGGGGCCTGGGCTGGAGGTCCCCAGGAGAGCCTGTTCCTCAGGTCTGAGAGGGGGAGATGCTGGGGAAGCCCAGAGAGACTCAGGGACACAGGATGGGGCCAGGCGCTATGGCAGGGACAGGTGACAGGATGACCTGGCCAGAGTGGCCCTTCCTGGTGCTGAAGCCATCTCATAGCCACCTCTTTCCTGCATCTGTCCCTTCCTTTCTTTGGAAAATGCCAGAACACCCCTCCTGGGGAGTGGGCCCTGCCCTGGTCCTCACGTACCTGCTGCCACCCGTGACCGTAGCTCACTAGCTTGCAGAGGCTGATGGCCCTGCGTTTCGCTGGCTGGTCAAAGGAGGGCAGCGCCGGGCTGGGAGGTCTCGCAGGTGCCCTGTGTCTGAGACCCAGTGTGCCAGGGACATACTGCCCCTCCCGCCGCGCCCCTCCTCTCCTCCCACGCACACCGCCCTCATCTCAGCACCTCCCTGACATTTATTGAGCGACCTCTGTATGCCAAGTGCTCACCTGCGGGTTTCCCAGACTTAATGAGGTCATTTTAACTCCCAGCAGTCTTTGGGGACAGCGGCTATTGTTAGCTGCTTAAAATGAAGACACCAGCGCCCTGAGACCCAAGGCGCCCAAGGCCCCACTTCTGGAAAGGGGTGACCCCAGCATGTGACCGAGGGCCACCTGCCTCTGCAGCCCACACTGCTGACCACTGTGCACACTGCCTCCCGCACCTGGTCTGCACTTGAACACAGCCAGGAAGCCGTTCCGAGCCACCTGTTGGCACGCAGCAGGCTCTGCTGAGCCTGGGACTGCTCTAGGGGTTACGAGTCTTGAAATGGCAAAGGAGGGCACTGCCCTGGAGAGAGCACCTGCCACGCATGAAGAGAGAACAGGAGTTCAGGCCTTGCTAGACAATTTACTGTGTGACTTTGGGCTAATCACTGCCCCTCTCTGGGCATCGGTTTCATTGGTACAAAGAAGCACTGGTTGGGTTGGCCGGAGCATTCCAAGAATGCAGGTTGACAAGAGGAAGGAACTTCTCTCCCATGGGCTCAGGGTCTCCACCTTTCCTTCCGCTTGTGCAGACGTGGCGAGTCCTGTCTTACGTTGAAGCAAATCATGAAGCATTTGCTGAGCCTCCACCTCTGCAGGGCACTCTGCTCCATGCAGTGGCTGTGACACTTGTGTTTTCACTTGGGACCTGCACACACGGGCTCATGTCTGTCTCTGTGTCTTAGGGTTGTTTCCAGGCTGCTTCAGCCGGGACCCACGCGGTGGGACCCCTGTCCCGCTGCGGAGGCCTCTGCCTCCTCCCTCCGCCTCCTCCAGGGCCCGGGAGCCTCCAAACAGGAAGCAGGGCCCTGGGCAGAGCTGAACCCCGTGAAGCACCCCACCAGGCAGTCATGGCTGCTGCTCTTCTCCCCACAGGCGCACCTGGAGCCTGCTGGAACCCGCGCTCTGAGCCCGCCAGCAGAGCTGCTCTTAAAGAAGATTCTAGAAACACGGGCACGACCCTTAGAAGGCTTCCCAGCGCCATCTACCAGGTAAGGGACTCGGGCTTGTCAACAAGGGGTTTTATGCTACTTTTATTGCGGCTAAGTGTGACCACCAGCGGGGACCTCCATTCTCCGACACAGCCCCATTTCAGTCCCTGTTGGCAGGAGGGCCCAATGTTAAGGCTCTGAGCTCTAACAGACCTACGCTCAAATTTGGGAACCACCAGTGTGGCCCGGGACCTGTTCCTCAACCTCTCTGTGTCTCTTCTGACCCATTAGTCAAATTAGGAAGGAACCGCCTCACCTCCTGGCTTTGTGTTTAGGATAATGGATAAAGGGCTGGGGTTGGGGCTCCGCCGTACAGAGCTCGCCTCACACGCACGAGGCCCTGGGTCCGAACCTCAGCACCACATAAACATAAGTAAAGTAAATAAAAGATATTGTGTTCAACTACAACTAAAAAATAAATATTAAAAAATAGAAAATAGATAAAAAGGGCTCAGCAGGCGAAGAACCCAAGAGCCCACGTTGCATTCCTGCGCACGTGGCAGCCCACCGTGCAGCATGGTCACATGGATGGCCTGCCCCCAGCTAGGATGTGGACTCCGCCTCTGCCTTGTTCGTGGTTGAACCCCAGCACAGGAAGCTGGCCCGCTAAGGGTTGACTGACTGACTGAGGTGTTTACCTGTGCTGTGCAGAGCCCTGAGAGCATCCTGGAGGTGCCTGGCCATCAGAGATTGTTCAGCCGTAACAAAAACCCAAATATCAGTTTCTTAAGCAACAGGGAGGGGAAATTTTTTCTAAGTAAAATCCCAAGTAAAGCGATTCTTTCACGGAAGCCACTGTGGCCCGGGTTCCTTCCGTCTACAGTTCCACCATTATTGTCCACGTGACCCACCGTGGTGTCCCCAACCTGGTCATCAGAGAGGGGACGTCAGCAGAGGAGGGGGTGCTGCCTTCTTCTAAGCTGATGCATTTGTCACATCCAATGGCCAGAATGTGGTCACTTGGTGCCCCTGCTGCATGGGAAGCTGGGAATGAGAGGCTTTGTGCTGGTGACCTCCTGGCCACGCACAGTCCGTGGAGAAGGGAGATGAATCCCGGCTCCTCTGCCTAGCAGGTGGGACGTTCCCTGGTTCTTTTTTCAATCTTCCATGTTCCTCCCCGGCACCAGTTTGTACCGTCACTGTCATTTTGCCTTGTCTAGACGGCTGGAGTCAACAGTGCACAGCCTTGAGACAGGCTTCTTTCGCCTAGAAATATGTATTTAAGGTTCCCTGTGTCTTTCTGTGTATGGCAGTTTGTTTTAAATTTTTTTTTTTTTTTTTGAACAAGGGTTTGAACCCAGGGGCTCTCACCCCTGAGTCTCACCCCCAGCCCTTTTTATTTTTATTTTCAGACAGGCTCTTGCCCAGTTGTTTAGGGCCTCACTAAGTTACTGAGGCTGGCCTCAAACTTGCAACCCTCCTGCCTCAGCCTCCTGAGTCTCTGGAATTACAGACATGCACCTCTGTGCCCTCCGATGACTTGTTTCTTTTTATTGTGGACAGCATTCCAACGCAGGCGCCACAGTCGTTCACGGGCTTGCTGATTGAAGGACCTATTAGCTGCTTCCAGTGTTTGGCAGTTCTGACCAGAGCTGCTGTAAACATTTGTTTGTAGCTTTTTGTGTGTGCGGACTGAAGTTTTCAGCTTATTTGAGCCACTGCTGCTGGACGGCACGACAGGACTACTCTTACCTTCATAAGAACCTGTGGCACTGTCTTCAGAGTGGCTGTCCCATTTTGCATTCCTATGTGAAAGCCTGGCTTTCACAGAATACATCTCCCTTCTCCACGGACTGTGCGTGGCCAGGAGGTCACCAGCACAAAGACTCTCATTCCCAGCTTCCCATGCAGCAGGGGCACCAAGTGACCACATTCTGGCCATTGGATGTGACAAATGCATCACCTGTCCCCAGGCTGTGCTCGCTTTCCCAAAGGCTTACCCCAGAAAGCCCTTCTCCCCAGGGTCCTGTGCTCCCGAGTGCCACCCCATAGCACCTTTCCCTCCCTCTCTCCCTCTCAGCCATGAATGAGGCTTCCTGTGGCTGCACACCGTCACCAGCCATCGCTGCGGTCAGTTTGTGGCTTTCAGCCTGCTTCTAGGTGGACAATGGAGGGATCCCTGTTTTAAAGTTGATGCGGAAGGTCAGAGGTCCACTTCTCATGGCCTGCTTGACATCAGAGCCCATGGCTGTCCCACCACCCCCTGCAGCCTCTCCCCATTGCTGGTTCTTCTGAGACTGAACCAGAGACCTGGGGTGGCCCCTCCTGCCCCAAGTTCAGGAGTGGCTGGATTCCAGGACCCAATGAACATTCATGGTGTCGAGTCTGTCTCCTCCGAAGGTCCATGTTTGGGACAATAAGGAGAGGGACAGAATGAGTGGCTCTCAGTCAGGGTGCAGGGGTCTCACTAGTCACCCAAACAGCCTCCCAAGAGGGGCCCAGCAGCTGGGACAATGGATGGAGGCAAGCGCAGCTCAGCTGGCCCAGTACTGTCTCAGGGTCCAAGAGTCCCTCAGGTTCAGGTAAGCAAGGACCAGGGACGTCTCAGGAGACTGAGGCAGGAGGACCACAAATCCTGGGCAACTTAGGGAGACCCTGTCTCAAAATAGAGAAAACTTTTTTTTAAAAGGAAAAAGAAAATAGACCTAATGAAAAAGTGAGAATTTCACAACATCAAAATTTGCCTGCAAAATGTCAAAGTACATTGTACAGCATAGGTGAATTATTGTCCGAGCCCTTTTGTCAAAAATTTGTAACTATGGGTGACAAAAATTCTCTGCATATTTCAAAATAGCTGGTTGACATAATTTTGAATGTTCCTGACATAAAGAAATGATAACTTCTGGGGTGATGAACTGATGAAGATGCCAACTGCCGGATCTGATCGTTCCGGGTTGTACACCGATATGTAGAACTATTATACCATCCAGAAATAAATAACATATTTCAAAAAACGAAGAGTCAAAGATGGGTCCTAAGATGGGGAGGGGAGGCACAGGCTGTGCAAGACGGCAGGTGCTGTGTCACTAGGAAGCAACGCCCAACGGGGTCAGTAAGACAGGTGACAGGTTGGTCTTTTCTTGGTGTCCAATAAATTGGCCATTTAGGGTCTGTTTACTGGTGTTGAGTCAGTGCTGAATTCAGGGCCTTTGCCCATTGGATGTGTCACACCACATCTGTGCCCCTGCTTCTCTCCCGTGGGCCTCAGTCCCCAGCGGGCATCCCCGCGTGGCGGCACGACCGAGGCCCGCGGCTCCCAGGTCCAACCCCAGGCAGAAGGGGAGCAGCTTTTCCCCGGGAGTTCAACCACAGCCCCAGAGTCGAAGCTTATTGGCTGGTGTGGTCACATGATCGTCTCTGACCAATCATTGAAACCTGGAGGCTAATGTGCTGATTGGCGGACGAGGTTAGTGGGGCGTGGCTGGTGCCGATGGGGCGTGTCGTGGGGAATCTCTGGAATGCCGAGCGCGGAGGTTTCTCGGAGGGAAATCCAGGGGCTGTTCTCACCAGGACAAAGGAGTGCAGTGCGGGGCAGACGCCGAGCGCGCGGGAAGCAACGGGGGCTCCGACTTGTCCCTCTTCCCGTGGTTCATGCGACCCGGGTTGGCCTTCCTGGGACAGGTGCCTGATTTTGGGTGAATCTGGCATCTAAAAGCCTGACCTGGCTGGGGCGGAGCTGGGCAGCGCGCTTGCCTGGCCTGCGCTCCTGATCCCCAGCCCTGCAGAACAAAGGGGGGGAGGAAAGAAGCCTGGCTTAAGAACACACCCGGCATCGCCTGTCCCCAGGTTGTGCCTCACTTCCCAAAGGCTTATCCCAGAAAGCCCTTCTCCCCGAGGGTCCTGCGCTCCCCAGCGCCACCCCATAGCACCTTTCCCTCCCTCTCTCCCTGCCGCCCCTTCACTGCGGGGTGTGTGTGGTGGGGGGACGATTTCTGCAGACTCTTTGGGGTTTACTTGGCTTAAATGGCCTCTCAGATAGGGGCCTTTCCCAGGCGACCAGCCCAGCAGTCCACGGGAGAAGGGCGCTGTCCCCACTGGAGCTGGCCTGGCTGGTGCCCGCTGCCACAGGTCTGTTATGCATTTAGGGTGCGGCTTATTTCATTAGGGGAAAAAAATGATTGCTTAGCAGAAAACGATGAAAAAAATAAATAAAAACAAAGCACAGCTTAGAACGCTGCTCCCAGGCAATGTGGCCACGTGCTTTTTAAAACCTGCCCCTTGCTTGGTTTGGGTTGACCACATCCCTTTTGGCCCTGCCCCAGGGCTCCTGCGCTGTCTCCACTGTGGACTCCGCAGGTCTGAGTCACCACGCAGACCACTCGGAGGTCAGGGCCGCCCTGCCTTATATGGTGCGCTCAGCCTCCGGGTCCTGGAGGGATGGTTCCTGCCAGGGGACGCCCACTGCATGCCTGGCCCCGTTCACATGCTGGAAATTGTCAATGAGCGAATTGCAAAGGTTCCTGCCTCCAGGAGATCCCTGGAGAGCAGGACCTGCGTGTCTCCATCTCCTCCCCCGCCCAGGAGCTCCCTCAGCACGAGCCCCCCATGGGCAATGTTTATAAGTCAACTATTTTCCACAATTTCAAAAGCCCCCAGCTGCCTCTGACGCTGCAGAAGTAATAGAATGACTTGGTCCTCACCCTCTGGGACTTAGAGTCCTAAGATACTGGAGGCAGTGGCCCTGGGTACCTGGTCTGGGTGTGCAACACACACAGAGAAGTGGCAGTTTCCACTTCCTGTCCTTTCTCGTTCTTTCTGTTGCACTCCAGAAGCAACTTGGGCACCAGGGCTGAGAGCCCCCAGCCTGTTGCCAAGGGTCGCCGCCACCCAAATGAGGAACCAGGGGCTGGGGACAGAGATGTGAAGGAGGCTTGGGAACTCCAGGGGCTGGGGTAGGTAGTGATAAATCAGGGGACACAGCACGTGGGGACTGGGCTTTGGACACTGGTGGGGGGACAGTATGGGCGAGGATGTTGTGCGAAGTCCCAGGAGGCAAAGAC